TATTAACGAGTTCATTGAGAAGCTTCTTAAAAGGAAAATTCTAAAATTTCTTTGTTACCAACTTCAAAATTAAAGATTATTTTCATTATTTTTTTGCCCTTTTAGCTATATATTTAATCTAAATGAAAAGATGTGTTTCTGGAGGCCATTAGATTGTTGTATATTTCAGCTAATAGTAAGCTGTATATGAACACTGACTTGTTATGTGAAAAGGACATATTATCACAACACAAGTCTGAGGAAAACTTTTGTTGCAACCTGACTATAGACGATCGGTACGATTGGCTGTTCTCGTCTCCACTTTCATTGACATCAACAATGCCATATAGAGGCTTTAGCCTACGGATGATAATATCTTTGCTATAACTAATTCATTGGTGATGAGGTGAGGGTTGGCATTGATTGGACTCGCCAGGAGGAAGTGATTTATTGGATCAAATGAGACTGGTCACCACTTGGGGTATATGTTTTCACCAGGTCTGTCGGGGATTGAAGGGCGGTTATATAAAGGATAAACGACAGAGTTACGGAGGCTGTCATAAGTGTTATCTAAACTCCTAATATCTGTCAGTGGTAACAAAACATGTATTGGAATTTTTGTATGAATTGTTTCCTTGGTGACTACTGAAGACAGGTGCATGGGCCAGCATCATAGTTGGTAAGTAAATAAACATTTGATTTAAAATTTGGATTTTGATTTTTAAATTATAGAAAATTGAAATTGGAGAAAATAATAACCAGATTCTGTGTGATAAATACTATATAATAATGCAAAATGTTTGAATTAAAATGAAAATATTCGTTTGAATATAATAATTCATGTGATCCAAGTAAATATATAAGCAGATGTTTCTACTGAAAATGTTACTGCTGTATAAGGAAAAGGTTTTATCATACCTATTCAAGAATTTTATTAATATTATCTTTCTGTAAGATGAGATAAAAAAAAATAAAAAAATATCGTAATCAGTAAAAGTGTATTCCGTCTTTGCATATTGCATAGTTATTTTCTCTTGTGAGCAGGTATTGATTGTTACGTCATTGGTTTGTGAGAGTAACGTCATCAACTTTTGAGAAAACGACGTAATCTTCTCACACAAACCAATGATGTAACAATCAATACCTGCTCACAAGAGAAGATAACTCTGCAATACGCAAAAACGGAATATGGTGACATCCGTTTGTATAAAGAGAATTGCTTGGAAAGTTGAAAATGTTGAAAGGGGCAATAGGAATCTAACCAAACAGCTTGGGGTGGTTTACCTGTCAAAATGACCACACAGCCTCAAATTGCTAGTGTGGTACTTGACTGACAGTTTTTGTGGTACAGGCTGATAGTTTTTGTGGTATACACCTGCTCTAGGGACCAACTCTATTATAGAGACCGTGTGTGTTAAGGATCGATCCCTGTACCACTGTCACTGGGGGGTATTTCATTTTGTTGATTGTGTGGGTAATCTCCATCCACAAATTCATAGGTCCATAATGTAATGACAAGTTTGATATAAAAAAAAAATCTCCGTTGGAGTGGGTGCTCATAATCATGCACCCACAAAATGTAGTTTTGTTGGGAAACCACAAAATTTAGGCCCCGCAAAATAATCTGTTTTCACAGTAGTTCAATCACATGTTTATTATCTGACAGTAACACATACAAATCTGTCTATAACTTGATAATTTACAAATGTTTATTTCTTTACATAAAAAACCTGTCTATAAAGACCACCTGTCTATTAAGACAGTTTTTAGTGGTTGTTATAGACAGGTTTGGCAGTATTACATTGTGCTACATGTAAATGACCTTTGACCTAAATCTAAACTACCTACTACTAACTAATGGTCCAGGTTCAATCGATGCTTGACACACTTGACGGAGGAGGTAGATGTGAGTTTTAGTTCACCCGGAGACTCCCAGGTAACTTTCCTTCACCACGCATTCCTCGTGTACCGATCAGTGACAGATGACTGGTTACAGCGCCCCCTGCAGGCTATGTGATGGTTTACATCAAATCTATCATAAATATTCAGTCTAATATCTGATTAAAAGTAAAGCTACTGTAGAAATAGACTGTTGTTAAAAGTACACTGAGAAACATTTGTTTATAGAAAACGTAAGACTGGGGGGAAAATCAATTATTGGTTAATGAAAAAAACGAGTTTTTATTGGACAATTATCATGAGATGGTTGACTGCTCAAATCACTTTTCATCTGTGGTTTTCTGAACCCTAACAAAGTCCAGGGTCTGTCATTAAACAATCCTTATTATCCCTACTTTCAAGAAGTACTGGATGGGTTATTCTCTAATTTCACATATAGATTTTCCTGAATACTTAAAGTGATGCATGTTAATTTTCAAGATTGCTGCTAAGAAGCCATCTTTGATTTTGAAAGTTGAAATTTATACTCTTATCACTATTTCTAAAGAAGTTTCTGACAGCAATTTCTCTTGTATGACTATAGGGTTAGTCACAATGCACATCGGAACATTTATATTTGTGACTCAATGGTAAAATACAATTGTACCTATGTAATGATAGACCAGGGTTTGTTATAGATTATTCTTGCCTGATTCCTTCAGGCGATAAAAAACAAGTCAACCAGAAATAATCTAACCATATTTGGGCCTTTAATTTACCTATATCCAGTAGATAGAAACACCTGTTTTTTCTCACATCTACCAATGTAAACTGGTATATACTGTCACCAGAGATATGTCGGGTTACTGATCAAAAGCAGACTCTCGTTTATAGGACAGTGTCTAGAACCGTGATCAGGAGAACAGATGTTGTTTTAGCGCCATATCCCATACAGTAAACAATGAAACACTGAGATTGGTGAATTATTTATGGTTCTATAAAATGGGATTTCTTTGAAACAAGAAAAAGGGAAAAAAAAATGTCTGCCTGTTGATGAGGATTACAGATTATATAGTGCGACAGTATAATCGTCCTCTTTATAACGTACCTGCTAAAGTGCACCGGATAGTTCGTCTAATCAGAATACCATTTCATTATGCTCTCGCAACATAATGAAGAGGACATTATTTATTATTAATTAAATGTTTTCTCTTTTCCATTGGTTCCATATGTCCCTACAATATCTTGGTTAGACTCTGTATTAGGCTCCATTAATACTAGAGGTCCTGCAGTCATCACATTTCACATGTGGATACATATTGGGGGTTATATTACCTCTGCTAGATATCAAATATAGGTCACTGTGACCTATATTTTCACTTTATTGACTTAATTGAGACTTTAGGTGTTTAAGTCAAATACTAGAAGTCCAGCAGTCATTTAGCTCCATATGTGGGTACAGCTTGAGGAGGTCAACAATATATCAGATGAAGGTCACTTTAAATTAGTGACCGATATTTTCTGCTTCACCAGCTTTGGTTAGACATTGCGTTTAGCTCCAATTCTATCAAAGCTGGAGTGGGCCATATGTACGTTTTCTTCTCTGTAACCTGATGACTTTTTTTTATTGAATTGTTTCAGGAATATCAGTTAAGATTATTTTTTAACTGTTTAATTGTCTTGCATTTCATTGTCTTCAAGACCTTATGTTGTCTGCATGTGTCAAAACCTTACAGGAGACAGATCAAAGACACCAACTTAAGAAAATCAATTCTCGTGATATTTTTTTAGTTCAGTTATTTTTTGACAAATATTGTGGTTATTGTTATGTCGAAGATTTGTCAGTTTCAAATTTTTTTTGTGTGTTTTTGGATACAAATATTTTAAACATGAAAAAAAAGCTGTTTGAATGTTATAAAATTTGTTCAAATGAAATGTAAAAGACATCTGAATGTTAAAAAAAATGAATGATTTGACATCATTTTAAAAATGGCCAATTTTCCCAGGACACCATAGGGATTTACTGACATCAGATGCAGGATTTTGAGAATGATAAATGATTATACTCTGTCAATAAACTGTTGAAATGGGGGTTAGTGACTGGAAAGGAAGCGTGCAGGGCGCGTGCTCCAGTACAAGAGGATAACAATGTGATTCACAATAAAAGGGCCAATGGCTGTCGCACTCTGTGAACAGACACTACAGCAGGTCTACGCTATTCTCCAGGGGACTGCTAATATGAAATTGCCGTTTTTTACGGGGTATATGTGCACCCATGCAAATCATGCTTTAATGAATCTCCGACTTTGTTGGCTATCGATGTAATCAGGATCGTTTTAAAGTTTGAAAGCTACAGAGACAACAATGTGTTGTGTGAACAGGTGGCAGGGTGATGTTACGCCAGGTTCTCCACCAGGACTACGACTCTCAGCCATGGTATAAGGTGGGTTCTCTCCGTAACTTAGTAACAACTCTCAGCCATGGTATAAGGTGGGTTCTCCACGTAACTTAGATCAGATGCAAACAAAGAGAAAGCTGAAAATGTCACCATGCCAGCTAATTGCAGCTGTAGGAAGTCCAGCATCCTGTGTGTTAGATACCTTGAATTATAGAGGGCACATTTCCATCAATCTGGGCCACTAAAAGGTCAGGGTTATTACCGTAGATTATTTCAGATTCTCATTTATGGTTCTGTATTCTGCATTTGCGAACTGTAATTAATAATGCTGATGTCTTCTTTCATACTTTAATTGTGTGTACAATGAGGGTGCATCTTAAATTACAATTTATATCTTGTGTACAAGTTTGTAGCTAAAATGCAGCTTTAGACCAAGTTACTCCAGAAAGGATAATACAACTCAGATATGAAGGATGAAATGATTGGTAATGTAGAAACATGCCTATAAATGTGGTAAATTGTCAACATAGAAATGATAACAGGTCCTGTGTTATATTATAATTAATCTTGCCCAATTTAAACAATCTTGTACATATATTTTTGATAGTCATTACTTTTATGTTAGGGTAATCTGTGACAGTGTCTCCATTCTAATAATACATTGATCCTGTTTGCTGCCTCTTCTTTTTTCAAAAATCCATAAAATTCCTTATTTTCTGACCACAGATTAAAATATATTAACTCATTCACCCCTGAAATTTCATAATGAACTATTCCAACCTTTGAATTGGAAGAGTTCAAATGTGTCTTTAAGGGTGAATGAGATAAAGGAAACATTCAATTTGTGGCCACTTGCGTAATTGATGAACACTGGCATACAGTGAGGTTGTTGGTTGTTACACCTTTGGAGTAATATGGTATAAGAATGGGTTGGTGACATGTGAGGAAAAATATGGTAATAGAAAAAAGCATGACCAGAAGTGAAGAAAACACATTGGCGACTTAATAAGAGAAATATGGTAACACCAGGTTCAGGAGACATGGGGGAAAATATGGTAACAGAATACGATAACAGAATGGGGTGAGGAGACATGATAAATACGGCAACAGAATACGATAACAGAATGGGGTACGATAACAGAATGGGGTGAGGAGACATGATAAATATGGCAACAGAATACGATAACAGAATGGGGTACGATAACAGAATGGAGTACGATAACAGAATGGGGTAAATTAACAGAATGGGGTGAGGAGACATGATCAATACGGCAACAGAATACGATAACAGAATGGGGTACGATAACAGAATGGGGTACGATAACAGAATGGGGTAAATAAACAGAATGGGGTGAGGAGACATGATAAATACGGCAACAGAATACGATAACAGAATGGGGTATGATAACAGAATGGGGTACGATAACAGAATGGGGTGAGGAGACATGATAAATACGGCAACAGAATGGGTTGAGACATTATGAGAAATTTGGTAACAGAACGGGTTAAGTAGAAATTAGGTGATGTACATGTCTATGTACGAGGCTGGACCTATTGTATGTATTGGTTAACATCTAAACCTACAGGATAGGTCTGTGCCATCACTCCGTCAGCTAGTATCTGTATCAGACGTTTATATTCTTTATGTCTATATCAACTTTTCCTGACACAGAATATTTATAGCCCATGTCTAGACATATCTATAAAAGACTTAACTTCGAACAGATCAGGTTAGTAAAATTATGTGACAAGCAATAAAATTGAATAAAAAATTTAATCCGTTCCTTTTGAAGTTTAAGGTCAAGATGACAAATAGAAGCAGGCAAGGTTTTTAGGGCAATAAATGCTTTTTGTCTCATCTCTTCGACTTTCAGTTTATCAATACAATGATATCTTTATATCTCCATTCTACCATCTGTCTGTCTTAACTAGGATGAGTTTCCTACTAGGCTGTCACGCTTAATGTCAATCTTGTTTTTCTGTATATGCTTTTTCAAGTAAGGCCAAAAAATGAACTTCTGCTTTTAAAAAATCTCTTACTTATTTCTTTTAATTGTCTACTCTAATATTCTTTTTTCCTTAATATCAACCAGTAATGTTTAAAGTTTGAAATACTGTTTCTATAAAATCTTGGTGAAAATATTGTGCAAAATAAGGTTTGCATAACTACCTTCTGTAATTTTCTGACAGCCATGCAAATAGGAAACATTTTTTTTTTTAATGGCCATACAATTTCATACTTACCATTGACTTCTGTTCCACTACTTACTGTAAAAACACTAATATACATGAGGACTTACTTATTTTGCAGTTGTGCATCAAGCAACCGATTCATGTGGATTTAAATTGCTGAAAAGAATAACGTGTATCTCCTTAATTGTTTAAGTTTGTCCAAAAGAAATCAAAGTTTCTTGTTTCACTTGTGTTGGATAAGAGCCTATAAGCTGTTTGAACAAAGTTCTCATATTAAGAGACAATGTCTTATATCAACTCATTAACCCCTAAAATTTTACAATAAACTATTCTAACCTTTGATTTGGAAGAGTTGAAATGTGTCTTCAGGGGTGAATGAGTTAACCTAAAAGTTGAATTGTGTGAAATACATTCTCTTATTGGTTGTTCAACAGGATCTTTGTAAAATTGAAGGGAAAATGTAATCTTCAATCACTGCTTTTAATTAGTTGATGGAATTTAAAGACGTAATCATGCTTTGACACTTGATTCAATTAAATATAAAAAATCTTCAAAGGAAATCTGAAACAACTCTTTAAGGAATAGTACCTTTAGTTTGTGATAGGTATCACGCAATACAGCTACTTAGGTTTTATGACAGATTATCAAGTTTATACAATGATAGAACTGAAGTAGTGACCTAGTGACCTAGTGATCTAGTTAGTAGTTTAACACAACATTAACTGTAATTATTTTTAGATCTTCGCTATTTCGTTTTTCACTAAATGTAGTTTTTTTCTCCTAATTGAGATGCTTTCGGGAAATAAAACGTAGCTTTGATCACCAATTTTTACCTGTAGTGATTTCTGATGAATTATGTATATGGAATCGGTACAGGGATTGAAGTGAAAATGGTGTGACTGATAAATAACGGAACATAAGACAACCATCAACCTGATCATTACCGTTAATTTACTTACTCTACTCGCTTTAATTTTTTTCAATTTGAATTTTTAAGGGAATTACATTCCATTAGCTGTTGTTAAAATTACTTTCATTAATTAAATTAAATGTACTGTTTCTTGCATTAGTGCTGAACCTAACTTTGTCATATGTCATAGCATTTAAGAATCTGTAGTGCGGAAAACCTATCATGAAATACGGTACCTGTGGTTTTAGGTAGTCATGCTTTTGCTAAAGGGAAGTAACTCCGAATTTCGACTTTTGTTTTTAATTTTCAAGGGATTTTCCTTAATTATAATGTTGCATATCACTTATATTTTTCGGGATTTAATGCTAAATTGTGTGGAGGTTTGATTGGAAGATTAAATACTAATTGGCTATTTGAGCACAAAATGCTACTGGTGATAAATATATTGGCTACTTGTCAAGGAATCAGTTTCAAAATTTAAAATAGGCTTTCACTCCTTCGTTCACAAATTCAAATACTCAAGATAAAATCATGACAGGTAAACTCACAAAATAAAGATCACACAATAATGTAAGTAATTTACAGAATTGTATGGACCTGTTTTATCATAGATTAAATGTCGGCCATGACAGTATATATACACACAGCCATGACTTTGCATTACTTTATATAGATAGAGGATTTTCATTCATAAACTCTATTCAATATCATTCCCGTAAAGTTCATTGATACTCTGGTCATGTACACTGTACTTGTTCAGAGTTCCAAGGTCTGCAAATAGGATGAGGGGCAAAGTTTGCATGAAAAAATAGTCCATGCAGTTACCCCTGCAAGCTTTTCTACCCTAAGCCATTTCCAGCTTACACATGTCTCCATCCTCCGAAAAATTTAGAAGAAAAAAAATCATTTTGGTTTAAAATACAGTCAAATGGGTTCAATGTCAATGGGGAAAAATTGTGGAAAATTTAAACTTGAAGTACCTTAATTTGTTTATGGCTTATGCAAACTGCCTGTCTTCATTACGGTTTGTTTTCATGAATTCTTATATTTCATATATAATTTCATCCTACGCCATCCCCTCATTACACCTGTCTTCATCCTTCTTAAGAATTTAGAAGAAAATAATTGAAAAATTAGAATAACAAGCATTCTGTGGGTATTGATGAATCAATACATGTCCTCTACCGGCCCCCCAAACTTTAACCTTCAGATTTTGACCAAGATAGTTAAGTTGAAAACATGTCAAAAATTCAAAATAAGTAAACTTATTTTTCCACTGTCATTAAATAACATTAATGCTAGACCCCTAAAGAACCTCTGTACATAAAATCAGCATCCTAACACTATTATTAAGTGAATGGTGAGCCATTACAAAACTTCAACCCAAACTTTAACCTGCAGATTTTGGCCAAGATAGTTAAGTGGAAAACATTTCAAAAATTGAAAAGATATATCCATTTTCAATCCACAGCATTAATGCTAGACCCCTGTAGAACCTTTATGCAAATAATCAACATCCTAACATCATAATATTAAGTGTATGGTAACCCATTACAAAACTTTAACCAAAACCTTAACCAAAGGTAATGGACGGACGACGGACGGACGCAGACAAAACCTATAGTCCTACCGATGAATTCATCGGTAGGGAAAATAATAAATATAATTTTCATTTAAAATACAGGGGCAAACAGGTTCAATGTTAATCGGAGAAGAAAAAATTGGAAAAATTAAAATTTAAGTTTCTTAATTTGTTCATGTCTTATGCAAACTGCATGTCATGATTACGGCTGTTTTCATGAATTCATGTGTTTAGTATATAATTTGACAGCTCTTTATATGTAATCCAGTGTCCTTGCTTTTGAAGTCTCATTTGAAGTGATAAAAAATGTGTTACCTATCAAATAGCAGACACTTGCATGTCATAACTTTCTATGGTGAGTGTCAGATTATCTTTGAGGCCATTGAATGTTGAAGAGATAGACAATAAAATGTATATTTGTCTCGTAGTAATTCCATACTTAGCTCAAGGTCAATACACCTGGGGCCGTTCAATATGAAATAGATTTGTTATCAATAAATCAAGATATCTTAGCCAGCACTAAGATCGAGCTGTGACCACCGTGTAAAGACATCAAAGAAAGAACCCATTCAAATTTAACATTACATCTTGATTAAAATGATCAAAACGTTTATCTTGATCCCTTCCATACGAGGGTTTCTGCTGATCAATGACATTGTTATGAGTTCTAAATTGAATTCAAGCACGTTAATGTCGATAACTTCATATGATTTTGATGTTTATATATAGTTTGAAAACCCGGAGAAAGTAATCGGCAATATGGGCGGTCATTCGGTCAAGATCTTGGCAGATTTGCAAGATTTTATCTAGTTTTCATTCATTCACATATATTTGTCAAAGACATTACCTTGAGAATTGAGTTTAAGGTACTGTTTATACCCTCGTGCCTCTAACTTGTACGTGTATTAGGATAAGGTAGACAGTGAGGCACACGTTCAAAATTCTTTAATAAATACATGAATTATTAAAAGATTTTTTTTTGGCCATGTAATATTTCTTTAATTAATTAGTGTCTCATCAACTACATTTCATAGTATTTTTCAATTCAGGTTTAATTGTCGTGTTGAGCGGGACGTTAACGACCAGAATCAATCTTCTTAAGTTACAGGTTCTAGATTCTCCGAAATCAAATATCAATTTGTCACGAAAATTAATTAAATTTTGCATGAGATGTCATTAAGATGACTAAGAATAAATCAGTACATTGATGTTTGGTGACTTAGAGTCCGGTATTGGCCGTCCCCGGGGTCTGTAATCAGAGGTATGTGTTCAAGGTAAATGACCATTGCATGTTAATTATAGATTTAAAACTTACCGTTATTTACCTATCATTTACTTATGTTACCTCATCATCAAATAATCATCAAAGGATGAATAGCTTAGGCCATTTATTGATAAAATCAGGCCCAACGTACGTTTTCAATCAATCTTTTAAATACCTTTAATCGTACAATATGAGATTTTCCGGTCGAGCGAATAAAGATTTCCCTTGCGTTGCCCCCTGCAGGCGATGTTTCCTTGATGTTGGGCTCTAGTTGACATTTACGACTCAACCATCACGCTCTTGTTATTCATTTCATTCAGGACAGGAAAAAGCTGGTGACACCAGACTTGCAGTAGAGATATAGTGTCTATATAACTTAATATAT